AAGCATGAAGTTCGAATTCCATATGTTTTTTCAAGTATATTCTTCATATTTTTTACTTCCATCTCTTCTCCATCTTTAATTGATAAAGAAAAACAGAAAAAAAAATTGATTCATATGCGTTCTATATCCCCACAACAATCTGAAAGTGAAGCTGAAATGGCCAAAACTTGTTGTAGTTAACGAGAGTTCTGTTTCCTTTCATTGTATGACTTTATTTTACTTAAAACCTTTATAATTATCGTCCGAAAAACCAACAAAGCATATCTAAATTCCTTCTAAGCATTAGAAATCGCTAGATTATCAACAAACACCACAAAATCATCCTAGAGTTTATCCGGAAAAATCAATAGAAGCGGAACCAGAAGTGCCCTCCCCTCAATGTCAAACTGGAGGGGTGGGATATACATGTAATAATACATTATGTAACTTTAGTTAGCAAGGCACACGCACTTTCGGTAAGCCCCCTTGTCATCCTAATCTCAACCCTAACTAACATGTACGAAAGAAGATAAATCGGAGTTTGAGACAGCTTTTCCAGCAGCAGAATGTAGCTGAACTAGAGAACGACCTACCGGTAGTCTCCACATGGAAAACATTCAATAAAAGAATTTTTCTTAAGTAGTGTTAACTCTTTAAGGAACGGTTGTCGTACGGTGAATTTGTTTGAATGGAGGATAATGCAGTATCTAACGTTGTGATTTTTTAATTCTAGGGTGCCTTTACATTTCTGCATATTGTGTTAAAGTGCTTCAAGTGAGAAAAAATTGTATTGCTACTTTTTTTATCCTGTATACTTATTGAATTAAATGTTAAAATAATTCAATATAAGAGGGGTGTAAGGGAAAAACTTGCCTGGGGAACTAGAAATGTTAACTAGTATATAAGCGACATTTTACATAGACAAGCTAAGGCTACATTTTAATTAATTAATTATAACATTATATCAAGAATTTCTTAGTTTTATTTCAAATTTAAATTGCATTTTTCAATTTCTCAGTTTAGGTATTTATAGCTGCAATACTGTTTTTAGGGGAATTTTTTTTATTCTTGTTACAGTACTCAAAAGATCACAGATCTTGTTTCTGTCCCAGAAAGTTACTCAAGAATGCGGTCATTTACTTCCAGTTGTACCTTTTCTAGAAATATTTATATCAAAATTGTTTCCATTACATATTTATTTAAACAATAAAACATCAGTGTTTGTGCATGCAAGTGATTGTTCCTCAATTTTCTGCCCGCAGTTTTGTTTTCCTCCTGCACTAACGTCTTATTCTCTCTTGTGCTGGCGTATTGACATAGGTACCACAAGAGCATATGTAATTAGAATGTATACTTAAAATGGTTTTGTTTTCTTCTTTCTAATCTAAATTAGGGTAAAATAATTGATATCAAAATATTTTTAGAATGAAAGCGCTATGTGACAAAGATTTTCAGACCTGTATGAAGCAATAAATATCCGTTGAGGGGGACAACAAAGAAATGTTACTTCGAAAGGAGAGGGGGGAGGCAAATAAAACTTACTTGTTACGCATAAATTAAAAAGGATCCAGGCAAATGTTAAGTTACCACAGGTGCTTAGGGACGGGGAAAATTCATACCCTATGACACAAAAACAGAACCTTCTCTTTTAGTTACAGTTTGTATAAATTTATAAAAGGCTTAAACAAGCCTTATTTTTCCTTAAATTTTGGATTTTTTGGTTGTAATACTTTATGAATATATCAGAGAAAAATATTATTTTAATGCAGATGAAACCCACTGTGGAAGGGAAGAACCGGGGTTGGGGGTGGGGGGGAGGGGAGGAGGGGGTTTCCAAGCACCTGTGAAAACTACATCTTCCGATTCCCACGGATGATAATTGTTCATTATAGTATACTTAACATGTAAAACAAAATCGCCGTGTGCTTTGCAATGTAAAAAAAAGAATTCTGTACTTTTTCACAATGTAAAATTCTTGTTCCTGTATGATGATTAAGAAACAACACATAAAATCAATTTTCTGCAGTTAAATATTTTTTGCGGAAATATTGATCACACTCGATAAAAGGCATTAAATACAAATTACATGTATGTACATTCGTTATCTTCTGCGATGATCCCTTGTCAATTATGTTATTCTCATTTCCACAGAATCGGTCGAAGAAGAATAATCAGTTTGCGCTTTCTTGACTTAAATATGCTAAGCCTATTCTTAACAGACAGGTAACTCTGATATAGCAACATTTCTGTTCTCCAAAATTTACCATAATTTTAGATAATCAAGAGCACTTTTAACTATACTTATGTAATTAGATTTTGTCGAGTGTCTCTAATGACGTCACAAAAAAGGGAAGTAACTCTATTGATGAGCGTTATTTTTAGCGATATTTGAACAGGTAAATATAGAAAACAACGAGGTTTAAAATTCAACGAATATTGTAATTATATCTACATGTATTTCCTTGATATTTGACCTTTAAAAGGGATTTCCTATATTGTTCTTTCCAATTGTCCCCTTTTTCAAAATATTTCATCTGCAGTTTCCTTTTCAACAACATCTATAAAGATCCAACAACTATTCCTCAAATGGATTTCCCATTTCGATTGATTGAATGATTGATTGATTGTATATTGTTTAATGTCCCTCTCGAGAATCTTTCACTCATATGGAGACGCCGCCACTTGTCGGTGGAGGGCTACAAATTTTGTCCTATGCTCGGCACTCAGGGCCTTTGAGCAGTGAGGGATCTTTTTCGTGCCAACACCTAATGCGACACGGGGCCTCGGTTTATACGGTCTCATCCGAAGGACCGTCCCATTTCGAAAAAAAAACATAAGCGTAGCCCGATTTACTTTTGAAAAAAAAACTTTTTTGAGCAACATGAATTTTTTCGTGATGTTTTCCCTCTTGTCCTAAACATTTCCACATTCGTGTGAACTCTTTAGTAAGTATGCTGATTTCTGGACCAGCTACCACCTTTAATTCAGCTGGATCTCCCGTTAACCATCACCTTTCACAATAGCATTGTTCTGCTTATTGGTTGACCAATGGCAATGTTTGAAAACTACTATTCTTTTCAAGTAAAGATTCCTTTTTCAAATTCTACATGTATATCCGGTTGCTTTGTTTGCACCCAAAGGTGAAATGGTACAAATGTAGCCATCGAGCATATTTGATAGAACCAATGGCAAAAACTATGGAATCAGATTTGATAAAGATTCTTTGTGAAGACTAAAATCTGATTCACTGCAAGACCTCACAAAAGAGAAGCCAAAAAGTTCTAAAAGAACTCTTCACCAAAATTTAAATTGTGAAATCTTTTTATTTTGTTCTGAACTCCAAGAAAAATATAGTTCATCTATTTCAATTTCACCGCAATTATCCAGTTCCATTGCATTTTTGGTCTGCCCTTTTATCACGTTATACAGATGTTAAGCAGTAATTTAATGATCTTGCCGCTTCCTTTCAACAAATCCACAGGCAGTTTGAAAGCTACCATTTCAATATGCAACCCATCAAACATTTTAACAACAAAACCATCCTTACCATTATCATCGTATCTTTTGGCAAGAACAAAAAAAAAGGTTGGCTACAAGCCATCACTGGCGTTTGTCTTTGATATAAAAAGTAATGGCGATGCCTTTACAGCCCATGGTATTCTGCAATGTGGATAGTGAATGATTACCTGTTGTTTTATGTCATTAATACAAAATTGATTAAGTACCCTTTATTTAACGTTCCTTGGAGGATTATTTCACTCATTAAAATCAAAAGTTGCTTGAACAAAAATTTCACTCACTGAGAATTTACGTTCTCTGAAGTTTTATTTCATCTATTGAGATTTTAAGTGCGTTGGAAGAGTGGTTCACTTCATGAGATTTTACGTTCTTGAGGGATTATTGTACTTATTATGGGCTTTCGAATAGAAAATTTTACTTGGTATTCAGACCTAATGGATAGTGAGGGAAGCGAGGCTTCAAGTTTTAAAAATGGTTTCTTGCTACTGTGATAATATATCTACACTATGGAACGATATAATGCTTTATAAGACAATAATTTTTTCTTTATATTTATAGCATTCAAGTTTGAATATGATTTTTATAGTCTTTTTAAAATTTAAAGTGCTTTACATAAATTGCTTCGCCGCAGCCCTATCAAACAATTAATTTTAATATTTTGTCATGTATATAAACTTGCATTTTTGAGAACACAAAATGTGCTTTGGTAATGTTATACTATTACTCTAGTACAAAATATTTCACATTAACTACAACTTGCCGACAAATTTATCAAAGGGTATTTTCCGCTCAATAGCGTTATCTGGTTTAAAACAAAGCCATCATACATTTTTCCCAAGTAAGATTCAGTTAGAGGGGGGACTCCTCTTACAGATTTTTACCAAACATCTCAAATTAATCCTCATTATAGACTTGCGCCAGACTCTTTTATACACATATAATGAATTCTGCCTCTATCCACGAGTATTAAAAATGGTAAATGTCAAACGTATATTTTCGTATGTATTTTGAACATGCTGACTTTTCCGCAAGAGTAATAAAGCAAACTTATCGTAATTATTCGGATATATAATATTTAAAAAAAATAATTAAAACATGTTTATTTTAAACTAGCTTCTGCATCTTTATATGCTGATTGAAATAAGATAAAAAAGTTTATGACACCCCCCCCCCCCCCTCATTGCTCAGTTTTGCAGTGAATTGACGTCATTTTCAATTATGACATTATAAATCTGTAGTTCAGAGAAGAATATGCACAGAGTACACTGCAATTTTCTCTTGGAAGTCTTATCGTACCTGCGAAATACATTTTGAAGTAAAGAAACACATTTACTCTCAAATATATATAATTCTCTTAATGAGGAACAAATAGACCTGTGATCGTATATAAACCTTTTTCATAACTGTCTGGATAAAATAAGAAGTAGTGACAATAGTTTCTAATTCAATTTTATTTGATATTCCCTTCTTATAATGTTTACTCATTGTTTCTTTTTTGACAGAAAAACGCTCTCTCTACGGAATAAAAAACGAAATAAGAATTGCATTACTGGGAAAAACAGGCAGTGGTAAGAGTGCAACGGCCAACACAATTTTTGGGGAAAAAATTTTTTTCTCAGGACCACTGCTATGCAGTGTAACAAACAAGTGTTTACAAGCGAGTGGAGTTCGGTTCGACAAAAAAATTGTAATCGTTGATACCCCTGGCGTCTGCGATACAAACAGAGAGGATGCAGATATACAAAGAGAAATCCAGCAATGTATAGCAATAACAGCACCAGGTCCTCATGCCTTTATATTAGTTCTTGGGCTCAGTAGATATACAAAAGAGGAACATAAAGCTGTTAAACATTTCATTGAACACTTTGGAGACGACATTTATGAATACTTGATTATATTATTTACTCGAAAAGATGACCTCAATCGTGCTGGGAAGAGCCTTGAAGATTTACTAAAAACAGCACCTGAAGAATTGAAGTATATTCTCAACAAATGCCAAAATAGAGTTCTTGCATTTGACAATACATTGAAAGGAGCTGAACAGGAGATGCAGGTTAAAGAGTTGCTGGAAATTATAAACACAAATGTAGTTCGAAATGGAGGCAAATTCTATACAAATAAAATGTATGAGAAAGCAGAACAGCTGATAAAAAGGTGTCAAACAGAAATTAAAAAGCAAGAAAAGGAGAGATGGGAGGAAGAAAGACGGAAGATAGAGGAAGATTGTCGACAGAAATTCCAAGCTGTGTTGAAGGCAAAAGAAGATGAAATGCTTGAAATCCAGAATAAAATGAGGTATATTGAGGGTATGAAATCCCAAAAAGATCAAAATATCAAAGAAAATGAGAATAAATTAAGAAAACTTCAAGAAAGCTTACAAAATAAATCAAAAGATGAAAGGAAAATGAAAAAAAAACAAGAAGAAGAATTACTGAGGATGAAAACAGGTTTAGAAGAAAGAATTGATGACTACGCTCGTGATGAAATTAGAAGAGAAGCTGCAAAAAATCGAGGTTTCATATCAGCTGCTGCAAATGCTTGGAAATGTGTATGGAATTCTGGAATGGATAAACTCGGGATAGAATAATTGAAATTGAATTAAACACCTTAAAGCCTCTTTTTTCCACGAAGATTAAAGTTACCTTAAGGCATGCTTGCATTCTATATGATTTAAATAATGCAAATTTTCTAGATGCGAATTGAAATACGCATGTCAGCAAGTACCCGAATATTGGATACTAAGTTGAATGAAGTTTTAAACACTAAACAACAATTATGTAAATAATTTCATGTATGTGTTGAATGCTGTTTATTTTCTTTTGTCTAAATGTAAGTATAAGATGTTTTATTTTATTGTTCAAACTGAATGTTTTGATTTCTCTCCATTTTGCTGGAATTCTCCCAGGCCTTTAAAGTGTCTGGTTCCATGTTATGTCGTTTTCCCTAGTTCTTAGTTTTCGGCTGCTTGTTACGCAACTCCAAAATTTTCCATGGTCAAACCTGACCCCTACATAGACCATCAGCCAATTAGAGGTGTCCATCGTAATCACGTGTTTTGATGCTGTCTGTTCCTGGTTCATTGGGATTTGCTGCTGTGTTTGCTTGTAAATGTTTTGCGGGAGAATGGACAGAGTCTCTTTTTCCCATGCAAATTGCAGTCAAAGAATTGTTTCCATTTGTATTAACTCTAGAAATTAGGGGCTCAGATTTGGCAAATAAGAAAATTCTCTTTATGTCGGACAGTATAGCCGTGGTAGAGGTTATAAATAAACAGTCGAGCAAAGAGAAAAATCTCATGTATCTTCTTTGTCGTTTGGTACTGGTTTGTCTATCAAATAATATCTTCTTTAAAGCTAAGCATATCCCGGGTAAATAAAATGTGGTAGCTGACAGATTGTCACATTTGCAATTTCGGAAACAACGGGAAGAAGCGCCATACGTAGAACTACAGACAACTGTCATTCCGGCACATCTATTGCAGATTTGACCTCTACCACACGTTCCGTCCTGGTGGCAGCCTTATCACCTTCTGCTCGTTATGCATATTAGGCATTCATGGCAACTTTTTCTCAAATTCAGAAGAAATCTATCATCTTTAGCATTTCTCATTACAGATATTCGTAACTTCAAAGGTTTTCTCTTTGAGAAGTAATATAGTTCTAGCAGCCATGCCTCACATATATCTGCATTGGGTTATGTTTACAAATTGATAAATTTGACAGATCCAACTCGTGCAAAAACTACTAAAAGGTTGTCACAAGCTTCTACCCTCTCAGGATGCTATATTACCAATATCTAAAAATATAATACACAAACTTTTGGCTGCATTAGCCTTTACTGTTCCACAAGCTTTAAATCGGGTTCCTTTGCAAGCCCTTTTTTTATGTTTTAAGGACATTGGCAACGTTTCTGGTTTTCGTATAGGATTTTTCAAGATTTTTTGAACAGGTTAAATTGTACATCCCTGCTTTTCTTTTATTACTGTAGAGTTGAATATATCCGATAAAAAACACACGTGCTTTTGTTTACTTCTCAGTCTGTAGCATATGCTTTATTTGTTTTCAGCGCCTAGAGAATTCCATACAGGAGATCACTCTCAATGACTTTTTTTCATAAGTAAGAAAACCTAGGTATAAACCTTTTTTCTCCGGAAACCCTGCGTTGTCAATCACCTTAATGCCTTTCTGCGATTAAGACAGAAGAAGAAGAAGACAAAGTTTTTCAAATACATGATATAAATTTTATGGGGGAAAAGGAAAACTTTCAGCAGTTCAAATTGTTCTTAGACATCATAAATCTCAACAGAAGAATGAGCCCATCATTATAGCAATTCAAGCCAATCCTAGTTCACAATGTTTTCCGGTGCATAATCCTTATAGATATAAATAATTATTTCCACATGTTTCAGGCCCATTTTTCCAGTTTGTCAATGGAACTCCAGCCACATAATCTTGTGTCAATAGTGAACTTTCAAAAGCGAAGCATTTGCTGGTCTGGATCCAAAGCGCTATAAGAAGCACAGTTTTCGAATAAATCTGCAATACATGCTACCCAGCTAGGTTATTCTGAAACTTTCATTCAACATTTAGGAAGATGAAACTCAAATGTTTTACAAAGATATATAAGAATTAATTTTTTTCAGTTGTAATTAGAGTATGACCCCCCACCCCCAACCCCAATTTTTCTATCTGAATACAATCCATTGTAGGTCAGTATTCTAACTGCTGCTATTGGGTTAAACGTTAGTTTTCATGACAGTGTTTTAACTGCTGCTATTGGGTTAGGACGCAGGACAGTGTTTTAACTGCTACTAAGTGTAGGTCAGTATAGGTTTAGGTTGCAAGTATTAAAGAGGGATGTGGCTCTATAGTCCAGTATGTAGATGTAGTTTCATTTGTACAATACAGGATAGTGTTTATATGTAGCTGCTGTATTGTCAAGGCGGCTGATTATTTTTTCCTGTTAACTTAGTTAGTTATTCCCATTTTGAGTAGTATATTAAGCATGTCATCTTATTTTTCTTCAAAGTAATGTAACCACTGCCTGCTGGTTCCATCAAACAGATGAGTATTCATTTCATATGTTTATTACAGTCATAATATTTTCTTGTAAATTTATCAACACTAGATGCCAGGTCAATGTTAAATGCTGGCATATCATATTTTTTCCTGCATTATATTGTAAATGATGAGATGATATTCCTGTGCTCAACCTCACCTTGGATGGCACAATGAGTTTGCCAAACTACGTTCGTCAATCACATTTGGTGGCAAATTTATTTTTGTGGTACCATCTTTTTGCTGCATACCTACTGTTTATATATTTTTTGCAAATATTGTTTATCTGTAAATTTAGTGGATCAGTATATTTTAAAATATGTATTTGTGCGATTACCTTTGATCTGATCCCCTATCATTTTTGCATGTATATGATGTATATACTTCTTCTTCTTTCGTCATTTTAAAGAGTGACATATTTCATCTCAACAATTGTGTTGATTTTATTTGATTTTATCAAAACAAAAACAGAGCTGCGGTTAGATTGTGCAGCGTGAGGAAACATGAAAATCATTTAATGTTAAAGTGTTCGTGGTCCGTCCAATTAGCCGTCCATCTTTTTTTTCAAAAATGTTCTCACAGATTTAGCCTGTTTTCTATATAAGTCAATACACAAATAGAATACATTTAGATGCAGAACTAGATGTATATTTGCATTTTCAAATAGATAAGTGGTGTTGGCATGGTTACCAAAAATAGAAATGTCTATGAAATACGTTTAAAATGCTACTCCTACTGTTAAGCTGATTTCAAAATATCTTGATAAACAAAGTAGACAACTTTAAAAAAATTAAAACAAAAAATTCTATATATCTGCATTTCTTCTGCTCTCTCTCACTTTGAACCTGTGACCTTCCTTTGCGTCCATATAGCTATCTTATTCATATTTTTCATTTAGTTTTTATTGTGTTTATTGTGTCAATTCAGACCTACATATGTTTTATCTTTACTATGGAAAGAAACACAGCCTAGATACTTCAAGCTCTTTAAAGTCACCTGAGTAAACTCAGATGACCTACTTCTATCTGTTTTCGTCCGTCGTCCGTCCGTGTGCTTACAAGCGAACATTTTCAGCTTCTTCTTTGCAAGAACTCAATCAATTTCAAGATATTTTTGCACAAAGCAAGATATTATTGCATATTATTGCACAAAGCATCTATAGGTTAAAGGGAACATAAATTATGAATTTCATGGTCCATGGTCCAAGCCCCCCCCCCCCCCGGGGGCCTGAAGGATGGGTCCAAAACCACTAAAATTAGTGCAATCTTTAAAAATCTTCTTCTGTACTCCTCGACATCCAGCAGTTCAACTGTTGGTATAATTGTTATCATCATTACGTCCCATAACAAACTTGTAAAATTCATGGCCCCAGGATCAGGGGTTCTCGTGCTAGGACGGGGCTCTATATATATTATTTAGTGAAAATGCATTATTTAATCATGTGGCGGTCCCTTTTGCCTTTGTAAAATGCTTTACATAAATCGCTTCGGTGCAGCCTCATAAAACAATTATTTTTAATATTTTATCATGTAAATAAACTCGTTGCATTTTCGAGAACCCAAACTGTTCTTGGGAAATGTTATGCGATTACAAAATATTTCACATTAACTTCAATTTACCGACAATAATAATAATAATGCTGCCTGACTTCATTCATACTAATTGTTAGTCCATTATTTAAACACTGAATTGACGACGGATTTTTTTTATCCGTTATTTCCTGATCCTGACAAGGAACACATGGCGGTTTTGACCGGTTGGCAGGGGATGCTCACTCCTCTATGGCATCTGATCACACCTCTGATGTTTTGGAGGTCCGTATTTCCTCTGCTCTTATTTTGTATTGTTTTATGGACTTTGAGATTGAATACTGTTAGTTATCTCCATATCCTTCGTAATAAAAATGTTATTATTGAAATTATAATAATTATACATTGTATAATAAAATCATATAATATTAATAGAAGTCACGTGATGCCGTGTTGGTAGTTGTGCTCATCTTTGCGTTAGACACTCTTTTATGGTTTTGCAATAGTTGATTATAATTTACCTTTATCAGCGTTTTTGGTATATTATCAAACTTAATTTTCTTTTAAAAGTCTGAAATTTTCCGAGAAATTAATTATATGCTTCCTAAATATACAGTAAAATTTGTCTAATCCGAACTCTGAGTACTCATAACTTTTGTCTCTTCCGCCTATAAATTTTAGTCCCATGCACTTCTTTAACAAATTCATTAGAGATCAATTAAACCCGCCACACATATTTTCCTGAGTTACTTCAAAGCAATTAACACTTTTCGTGGTGGATGTGCTAATCTGTGTTTACATGAGAATTTTTAGTGCCATGAAAAGAACTGAAATTTGGCGGTGACACGGCCCGCTTGGATAATAAGATATGATAATCTGAATTTCCTCTGGCCTTCTTTCAAAAACTGACCATAAAGCACATTTATCGGCAATAATTGCTAAAATATTAATCAAAAAATTATTCAGTTTAATTTTAAATAAAAAATGTGTTCAAATAAAATTAAAAGTCATACAAGCTTATTCTTTTTCATAGATAAAGTATC